TTACAAAATAAGATCCATTATTATTCCCATACCATTATTACAGAGAATCAGACAAATTATGCTACACTCTGCCTATTGGCTACTTAGCTTATTCAAGCCTGTCTCAAAATACAACACTGCTCCTTCAAGACAAAAGAAAAGCTCTTTACCTGACTCGATTTTCAAAGATGTCTAGAAATGTGCACGTTTTGTGCTCTTGTAGAAAGAAATCACTCCCCTATTGCTGACTACAAATGATCTATAACTGGGCTAATAACTCACTAACTAGCAAAGGATATTAACAAAATGTGCACACTTGGCTACATGCAGCTTTCACTTTGATCTCAAAACAAGTGCATCTACTCACGACCGCTCATGCTGTAAACACAGTCCAGTTCAAAGTAAACGGCACAGATCCATATATGTCAATGGTCTATTTGCAATGGTCTACAGTGCATTTGGAAAGTATTCAGACCCCTTGACTTTTTCCACATTTTGTTACGTTACAGCCTTATTCTAAAATTGATAAAATTATTATTTTTCCAAACAATACCCCATAATGAGAAAGTGAAAACAGGTTTTCCGAAATTTTTGCAAATGTATTAAAAATAAAAAACAGAAATACCTTATTTACCTAAGTATTCAGACCCTTTGCTATGAGACTCGAAATTGAGCTCAGGTGCATCCTGTTTCCATTGATTATCCTTGAGATGTTTCTACAACTTGATTGGAGTCCACCTGTGGTAAATTCAATTGATTGGACATGATTTGGAAATGCGCACACCTGTCTATATAAGGTCCCACAGTTGACAGTACATGTCAGAGCAAAAACCAAGCCATGAGGTCAAAGGAATTGTCCGTAGAGTTCCGAGACAGGATTGTGTCGAGGCACAGATCTGGGGAAGGGTACCAAAACATTTCTGCAGCATTGAATGTCCCCAAGAACACTGTCACCTCCATCATTCTTAAATGGAAGAAGTTTGGAACCACCAAGACTCTTCCTAGAGCTGGTCGCCCGGCCAAACTGAGCAATCGGGGGAGAAGGGCCTTGGTCAGGGAGGTGACCTAGAACCCGATGGTCACTCTGACAGAGCTCCAGCATTCCTCTGTGGAGATGGGAGAACCTTTCAGAAAGACAACCATCTCTGCAGCACTCCACCAATCAGGCCTTTATGGTAGAGTGGCCAGACGGAAGCCACTCCTCAGTCAAAGGCACGACAGCCCGCTTGGAGTATGCCAAAAGGCACCTAAAGGACTCTCAGACCATGAGAAACAAGATTCTCTGGTCTGATGAAACCATGATTGAACTCTCTGAATGCCAAGCGCCACATCTGGAGGAAACCTGGCACCATCCCTACGCTGAAGCATGGTGGTGGCCGCATCATGCTGTGGGGATGTTTTTCAGCGGACTGGGAGACTAGTCAGGATCGAGGGAAAGATGAACGGAGCAAAGTACAGAGACATCCTTGTAGCGTCATACCCAAGAAGAATCGAGACTGTAATCGCTGCCAAAGGTGCTTCAACAAAGTACTGAGTAAAGGGTCTGAATACTTAAGTAAATGTAATACATCAGTTTTTTATTTGTAATAAATGTGCAAAAATGTCTATAAACCTGTTTTTGCTTTGTCATTATGGGGTATTGTGTGTAGATTGATGAAGAAAAAAACAAATGTAATCCATTTTAGAATACAGCTGTAACGAAACAAAATGTGGGAAAAGTCAAGGGGTCTGAATATTTTCCGAATTCCACTGTAGGCCTACTGCAGCTCTGATTGTTTATGCCGCATAGGTCTGTGTAGACTACGGGCTGAGTAGTGCGTGTCAATGCAATAGTAGTGCGTGCTACTCCAATATGTTCTGCCTACAACTAAATCTCTTGCATAGTTTGTTTTGTTTTGATATGTTGCATTGAAAGTGGATAATATTGCGTTGATTCGATCACAATTGCCACAGTAAAGGGAAAGCTTGATAGTGTTAACAGAGAAAACTCTAGAACAGTTGTCACCAACCATTTCTGAGTCAAGATCACTTTGAGTCAAAATGCAAGCCGAGATCTACCGCTCTGATTTTTTTTTCACATGCCTTAACAAAACGTAAGCCTATGTAACATGAACCAATTAAAAACAGTACTGTAGCAATGAGGTTTGTGGAGTAAGCTATAGGCCCAATACATTATCACTGCTAAATGGCATATTATTATTATTATTATTATTATTATTATTATTATTATTATTATTATTATTATTATTATTATCACTGCATATTGACTTTGCTTGAATTGCCCAGCCAATGTATTGTTGTTTGGGCCATTTTTCTAAATTATATTTCAAAATTTGAAGTAGGCTATATGATCACACTGCTAATAGATCCGTTGTTGTATTACTTGTGAAGCACAGCTGAGTGAGCATACATTTAAATAATTTGCTTTTTATTTGTGTTTTACTGGGCTGATGGTGCCTGCATCTGATGGTCAGTCTCAGCGGAGGGAGAGAGCCTCTCAACATCCCTCTGCTCTCCCTTCCCTCCACTGACACTGACCAAAAAGGGACTCGTCTTCCAGCTGATGGAGAAACTCGAGTCGCACTGCATTATTTCTGGCTCATGCACAAATTCATGTTGTTACTGCTATGAACAGAGAAAGTTAAATATTCCTCGCTATTAAGAAAGACCAAAGCCGCTAATAATAACAACAATGCATGCCTATAGATACACTTTCCTACTCATTCATTACTGCTGCAGTGCTTGTTGTAGCGCTGAGTTGAAATAGGAAGAACGCACATTTTATGGCTTATAAAAGTGTTGAATACAAAGTGTTGACAGTGCTGAGTAAGAACTTAAACATGAACTCACTCATAAACATGAACGCATCTCTTTGCTGTATTCGTTGACAGTCTCTTTCTAGTCATGGTTTTAAATGTTGTGAAATCTCACAGTATCAACTTTGCTGTAGCTTTCTTTTATGCCTACTACGTTACCGCAGACACGGTAATCTGAGCCAACCGGTAAACGTATAGTGCACTTGATTTGCTCTCTGGGTCTGCTGGAAAGGAAGAGTTTGTACCTTCAGACATATGAAATGGTTCAAAATGGCAACAGTTCGCCTACCTGGCGTTAAGATTATGCAAAGAGTCAACATATGCAGTGTTGACCCTTCTTTTTCAAGACCTCTGCAATCCGCCCTGTCAATTAACTTCTGGGCCACATCCTGACTGATGGCAGCCCATTCTTGCATAATCAATGCTTGGAGTTTGTCAGAATTTGTGGGTTTTTGTTTGTCCACCCGCCTCTTGAGGATTGACCACAAGTTCTCAATGGGATTAAGGTCTGGGGAGTTTCCTGGCCATGGACCCAAAATGTCGATGTTTTGTTCCCCGAGCCACTTAGTTATCACTTTTGCCTTATGGCAAGGTGCTCCATCATGCTGGAAAAGGCATTGTTCGTCACCAAACTGTTCTTGGATGGTTGGGAGAAGTTGCTCTCGGAGGATGTGTTGGTACCATTTTTTATTCATGGCTGTGTTCTTATGCAAAATTGTGAGTGAGCCCACTCCCTTGGCTGAGAAGCAACCCCACACATGAATGGTCTCACAATGCTTTACTGTTGGCATGACACAGGACTGATGGTAGCGCTCATCTTGTCTTCTCAGGACAAGCTTTTTTCCGGATGCCCCAAACAACCCACTCCTCATTAGTCCAATCCCTGTACCTTTTGCAGAATATCGGTCTGTTTCTGATGTTTTTCCTGGAGAGAAGTGGCTTCCTCGCTGCCCTTCTTGACACCAGACCATCCTCCAAAAGTCTTCGCCTCACTGTGCGTGCAGATGCACTCACACCTGCCTGCTGCCATTCCTGAGCAAGCTCTGCACTGGTGGTGCCCCGATCCCGCAGCTGAATTAACTTTAGGAAACGGTCCTGGCGCTTGCTGGCCTTTCTTGGGCGCCCTGAAGCCTTCTTCACAACAATTGAACCTCTCTCCTTGAAGTTCTTGATGATCCGATAAATGGTTGATTTAGGTGCAATCTTACTAGCAGCAATATCCTTGCCTGTGAAGCCGTTTTTGTGCAAACAATGATGATGGCACGTGTCTCCTTGCAGGTAACCATGGTTAACAGAGGAAGAACAATGATTTCAAGCACCACCCTCCTTTTAAAGCTTCCAGTCTGTTATTCTAACTCAATCAGCATGATCTCCAGCCTTGTCCTCGTCAACACTCACCTGTGTTAACGAGAGAATCACAGACATGATGTCAGCTGGTCCTTTTGTGGCAGGGCTGAAATGCAGTGGAAATGTTTTTTGAGTATTACGTTTATTTTCATGGCAAAGAGAGACTTTGCAATTAATTGCAATTCATCTGATCACTCTTCATAACATTCTGGAGTATATGCAAATTGCCATCATAAAAACTGAGGCAGCAGACTTTGTGAAAATTAATATTTGTGTCATTCTCAAAACTTGACCACGACTGTAGTATAGTAGAGGCAGTCCTTTTCATATATAATTGATTCCCCCAGTTGGCTAGCCAACTGAAGCTCCCTCAGCTACTTGACTCGATGGAGTCGGGGGAACAAAAGCGTTGACGCAGATGATAATTCTCATCTGTCCATATTCCAAGGAGCACTTTCATTTAGTCTGCCCGCCAGTTGGTGGTTATTTTCCATGTTCACGTAGACATACATTCTGTGTACATATGGCTAGCATTTCTTTATTGTGTAGCTGACAAACTGTACTTGTTATTTCTTCATCCTTTATCTTGACCACAACCCTTCAAGCCTTTGGCATGACTAGTGAATGGCGGAGAGGGCCATAGGCGTAATGTGTAAGAACTAAGCACGGCACAACGTTTAGATATACATATATTACAATGGAACAAACATGCCTCTCTGACATTTAGAACTTCTCAGAACAAAAGTTTTGTTTGTGTTTGTAATTTTGTTCGAATTTCGACTATTCTTGCACTTTTTCCCATGGTTATAGTTCCCCGCCCCCCCCCCCCCCCCCCCCCTCTCTCTGTCTCTCTCATAGAGCACGCTCGCGCTCGCAGGAAGAGCATTGCCACTGCGAGACAGCCAAGCATGGAAATCCCTCCCACTGCCCCCCAACAACCCTTCAGACAACAAGTAAGTACTGGAACATGCTATATTACCTGTTTCCATTATTATTGTGTCATTTTCACTTACTTTGAGCCATACAGTAAAGTGCTACCCACCCATATTAGCTTAACTTCCTGCTCTCTATCAGTATTCTCCCTCATCTCCCTGTTCTCTTTTGTCCAGAGCAGAATTGATAATAGTAATATATAGTAGGCTAACGGTAATGCTACTAATTTACCGATTCCAAATTAAAAGAACAGCATAACAGTAAGGGATACACCTGTACATTTACACCAGTTCAACCCCAGAAGAGTACTCATGCCAGTTGAGTTTTCGAGTCTTCAAATAGGCTTACACCATCTTAGTGACTGAATTGGCATAGCCCACTGAAGCTTCATCTGTAGCCCAATAGCCTCCTCCAGTGGTCATCTGAAGGAAGCAAAACACAAACACTTCAAAAGGGGGGTCCTCTCCTCATCTCCTTACGTCCATCAGTACCACAACCACCACCACCACCACCAATAACATAGATTCCTGCTAACACTGATTTCGCAGATAGCGCCTATTTTGAAGAGGGTTTAATGCACTGATTGTAAGTCGCTCTGGAGCGTCTTACAAGAGCTTCTGCTAAATTACTGCATTTTTTATGAAATGGACATCCCCACCTGTGTAATGGTCACCTCTCCTGTCCCCAACAGAGCTTCCTCAGTCGAAAGTTGAAGGGCTCCATCAAGAGGGCAAAGAGCCAGCCCAAACTGGATCGAACCAGCAGCTTCCGCCACATGATTCTACCCCGTTTCCGTAGTGCTGATCAGGAGAGGTAGCTAACGCTTTCCAAAAAGTTTGCATGTGTTACGTACACGGTTTCTGTTATACACTCTGTAAAGCTTTTATTCTTTTTTTGTATTTACCTGGTGTTTTCCAATATGTACAGTATATGGTAACAGTGGTTACTTTTTGGTACTTATTGCAAGAATTTAACAAAATTTGTAACACTACCTGGTACCAAATTATATTTAGTAGTGCTTGTTTCAATGCAAGTAGTGCTTGTTTCAATTTAGCAGTGCTTGTTTCCCTTAACACTGTATTGGGACCACAGAGTATCTTAACCGCTCTCTCTCTCTCTCTCTCCTCTCTCTCTCTCTCTCTCTCTCTCTCTCTCTCTCCTCTCTCTCTCTCTCTCTCTCTCTCTCTCTCTCTCTCTCTCTCTCTCTCTCTCTCTCTCTCTCTCTCTCTCTCTCTCTCTCTCTCTCTCTCTCGATCTCTCTCTCAAGGACACGTCTAATGCAGAGCTTCAAGGAGTCCCACTCTCATGAGTCCCTGCTTTCCCCTAGCAGTGCAGCGGAGGCTCTGGACCTCACGCTGGATGAAGATGCTGTCATCAAACCTGTCCACTCCAGCATATTGGGCCAGGAGTACTGCTTTGAGGTGAGTGCCCTGCTGCCAGAAGAATAGTTTATAGTATCTCTCCTAATATTGAATCTAAAACATTTATTACAGCTCTGTTATCCCAGTTGATGTGTCATGGTGATAGCAATTGATCAACTGTTACACACTAACAAGCAACAAACAATATCATTGATGAATTCACTTCTATGTGTCTGTTTGACTGCAGGTGACCACCATTTCAGGGACAAAATGCTTTGCCTGCCGCTCGGCTGCTGAGAGAGACAAATGGATTGAGAATCTACAGAGAGCTGTCAAGCCCAACAAGGTGAACAAATAGAGAGGAACAAGGACCCTGCTTGCAGTCCACACTCAAAATGCCTTTCAGGCATTAAAAATGGAAAGATCATCTCCATTAGTTTCAGCAGTCTTCACCTCTCTCTCTCTCTCTCTCTCTCTCTCTCTCTCTCTCTCTCTCTCTCTCTCTCTCTCTCTCTCTCTCTCTCTCTCTCTCTCTCCAATGCTCCCATTTTAGGACAACAGTCGAAGGGTGGACAATGTGCTTAAGCTGTGGATCATTGAGGCCAGGGACCTTCCGCCTAAGAAGCGGTACTATTGCGAGCTGTGTCTGGATGACATGCTGTATGCGCGTACCACCAGCAAGCCCCGCACGGACACTGTCTTCTGGGGCGAGCACTTTGAGTTCAACAACTTGCCTGCCATTCGTAGCCTACGCCTGCACCTTTACAAGGAGACAGACAAAAAGCGACGCAAGGTGTGTGTCTGTGTCTGTGTCTGTCTATGGTGGTTGTATTTCTCCGTCTATCTTTGTGTTTGCAGAGTTACTCAAATATGTATTTTTATTATATTCTCCATTCTGTTCTCTAACCTAGGAGAAGAGCACTTACCTCGGCCTGGTCACTATCCCCATATCGAGCATCACAGGCAGGCAGTTCGTGGAGCAGTGGTACCCGGTGATCCAGCCCAGTGCTTTGGCTAAGGGTGGCGGTGTAGGCAGTGGCAAGGTCATCAATGCCTCAATCCGCCTCAAGTCCCGTTACCAGACCATGAGTATCCTGCCCATGGAGCTGTACAAGGAGTTCGCTGAGTACATCACCAATAACTACCGTACGCTGTGTGCCGTGCTGGAGCCTCTGCTCAGTGTCAAAAGCAAAGAGGAGGTGGCGTTCGCATTGGTGCACATTCTCCAGAGCACGGGCAAGGCCAAGGTAGGAAGGCACTAAAGCAGGGGTGGCCAAGCACTCCTGTTGGAGAGTAACCCCTTTCTGAGCTTTTTGTAAATGAGGCCTGTAGCATCTTTCCTGGCCGCTGGGTCTGCTGTACAATGTGTTTGTGTTGTTTGTTTGAGGAGCATGTTCTTTTTTCAGGATTTCCTGTCAGACATGGCGATGTGCGAGGTGGATAGATTCATGGAACGAGAGCATCTGATCTTTCGAGAGAACACCCTTGCTACTAAAGCCATAGAGGAGTACCTCAAATTGATAGGGCACCGGTACCTCAAGGATGCCATAGGTACAACTCTAAATTATTTAATTGTATACCAATACCAGTGTAAAATGACCAAATCCAGACCTGGGTTCAAATACTATTTGAAATCGTTCAAATACTTTGAGCGTTTGCTTTAGCCTGCCTGGAGTGCCAGGTCTTTGCACTTTTATGACTTTTTTATTGAACAGGCAAGCTCAATCAAGCACAGCTAAAGTATTTGAAATGATGAGTGACAATGATGTTGATGAGAAGACTATGATGATGATGGTGATGGGGATGAAGAAGAAGATACTGATGAGGATTAACGGACGGTTGTCTCGTTGACAGGGGAGTTCATTCGAGCTTTATATGAGTCAGAGGAGAATTGTGAAGTGGATCCCATGCGCACTCCACCGTCTGTCCTGGCCGACCACCAAGCCAATCTTCGCATGTGCTGCGAGCTGGCACTCTGCAAGATTGTCAACTCTCATTGGTCAGAAATTCTTCCACATGACTATGCCATTGTACAAATTTGTCAGTAACACAGCCTTCTTTTCTAGTATGGTGGGCTGGAAAATAAAGTACTATTCTATCCTTCTATCCTACCCTTTTATTCTAGTGTGTTTCCGCGGGAGTTGAAGGACGTCTTTGCCTCCTGGAGGGTCCGGTGTGCCGAGCGGGGAAGGGAGGACATCGCAGACCGCCTCATCAGCTCCTCCCTCTTTCTACGCTTCCTGTGTCCCGCCATCATGTCGCCCTCTCTCTTCAACCTTACCCAGGAGTACCCCGGAGAGCGGACATCCCGCACTCTTACCCTCATCGCCAAGGTGGTGCAGAACCTGGCCAGCTTCTCCAAGTCAGTCACTACCTTCCCTTCCATGTAGCCTTCCCTTTCTTTTACCATTAACTTTCTTTTTAGCCTTTCCTCCTATGTACCATTTCCTTCCACGTAGCCTTCCCTTTTTTTTGCATTACCTTTCTTTTAGCCTTCCATCACATTTAGCCTCCCCTCACCTGTCCTGTAACAATTAACCTGCCTTTCCCCAAATTATTCAGTATGTCCACTACCAGCCACTACCAGCCAAGCCTTGATAAGTCATTATCTATGTCCTCAACCAGTTACTCTTCCAGGAACCAATCCATTAATTATTTCCATGACATTACGATGGGGTCATACATGCTTATGACTTGCTTAAATCTTACTATGCATTATAACTGTATCATAATACATTATATCAGTCAGCGTGAAGTAAAGTATTACTAAATATGTTTTTCCTTTGGTGACAGTGAATGAAGATTTCATCCAACATGATTGTCCACAAACAAGATGATTGTGCACAAAAGTGACTGTAACAGGTTTCAATGGCACAAATGTTCAGAGGGTGGAGAAGTCTGTCTGCACAGAAATTATTTGTTTTAGCGATGTTCTTGTCACATTGCAGACAAGGTTACAGTACGAATAATTCAATTCTCCCCCTCACTTTTCATACTGTATCCTTTCATCTTCCTCACCTTCTCTTTCATTCTTTGCATTCTCACACTGTCTGTCTCCCCTCTCTTGTTTTCTCTCCGTACCCCCTTATCACTATTTCTCTGTACTCCTCCATACTATATATCTTGTCCCTTTCTCCCTCAATCTTTCACTGTCTGTGGGAACTTCTTTCTCTCTTTCCCCCATTGTCTCCCTTTTTTACCCCCCACTCTCTCTCTCTATGCTCCCCCACACTGCTGTCTTTTCTCTCCTCAGGTTTAGTGGCAAAGAGGACCACATGTGTTTCATGAACGAGTTTTTGGAGATGGAGTGGGGCTCCATGCAGCAGTTCCTGTACGAGATCTCGAACATGGATACGGGGAGCAACGCAGGGGGCTTTGAGGGCTACATCGACCTGGGCAGGGAGCTGTCGGTGCTCCACAGCCTGCTGTGGGAAGTCATGGCACAACTGAGCAAGGTAATGTGGAATGTAACCTAGTCCCCAAACTATTGTGCACAGCGCATACAGTGCCATCGGAAGGTATTCAGACCCGTTGACTTTTTCCACATTTTGTTGTTACAGCCTTATTCTAAAATTGATTAAATCGTTTTTTTCCCTCATCAATCTGCACACAATACCCCATAATGACAAAGCAAAAACTGAAATATCACATTTACATAAGTATTCAGACCCTTTACTCAGTACTTTGTTGAAGCACCTTTGGCAGCGATTACAGCCTCGAGTCTTCTTGGGTATGACGCTTGGCACACCTGTATTTGGGGAGTTTCTCCCATTCTTCTCTGCAGATCCTCTCAAGCTCTGTCAGGTTGGATGGGGAGCGTTGCTGCACAGCTATTTTCAGGTCTCTCCAAAGATGTTCGATCGGGTTCAAGTCTGGGCTCTGGCTGGGCCACTCAATGACATTCAGAGACTTGTCCCAAAGCCACTCCTGCGTTGTCTTGGCTGTTGGAAGGTGAACCTTCGCCCCAGTCTGAGGTCCTGAGTGCTCTGGAGCAGGCTTTCATCAAGGATCTCTCTGTACTTTACTCAGTTCATCTTTCCCTTGATCCTGACGAGTCTCCCAGTCCCTGTCGCTGAAAAACATCCCCACAGCATGATGCTGCCACCACCATGCTTCACCATAGGGATGGTGCCAGGTTTCCTCCAGACGTGACACTTGGCATTCAGGCCAAAGAGTTAATTATTGGTTTCATCAGACCAGAGAATCCCCAGTATTCCATTGCCTTTTGGCAAACTCCAAGCGGGCTGTCATGTGCCTTTTACTGAGGAGTGGCTTCCGTCTGGCCACTCTACCATAAAGGCCCTTCTCCCCCGATTGCTCAGTTTGGCCGGGCGGCCAGCTCTAGGAAGAGTCTTGGTGGTTCCAAACATCTTCCATTTAAGAATGATGGAGGCCACTGTGTTCTTGGGGACCTTCAATGCTGCATAAATGTTTTGGTACGCTTCCCCAGATCTGTGCCTCGACACAATCCTGTCTCTGAGCTCTACGGACAATTCCTTCGACCTAATGGCTTGGTTTTTGCTCTGACATGCACTGTCAACTGTGGGACCTTATATAGACAGGTGTGTGCCTTTCCAAATCATGTCCAATCAGTTGGATTTATCACAGGTGGACTCCAATCAAGTTGTAGAAACATCTCAAGGATGATCAATGGAAACAGGATGCACCTGAGCTCAATTTCGCGTCTCATAGCAAAGGGTCTGAGTACTTATGTAAATACATTTCTTTCTTTTTCTTTTTCTTTTTTTGCAAACATTTCTAAGAACCTGTTTTCACTTTGTCATTATGGGGTATTGTGAGTAGATTGCTGAGGAAATGTTTTTATTTAATCCATTTTAGAATAAGGCTGTAATGTAACAAAATGTGGAAAAAGTCAAGGGGTCGGAATACTTTCCGAAGGCACTGTATAAGCCTGGGACATCAACGATTCAAAGTTGGCCTTAGTGGGAGTGACCATAGAATTCTATGGGAGTGACCTTACTGAGTAAAGTATTTGTCATCATTTAATTTGAGCGAATCACACGACTGTAAGGCGTGTCTCCAAATGGAGGCAGGACCTGGCACAAGACACCTACAGGGTAGGGGGAAGGTGTTGTGGGAGATGATTGGCTGGTAGATTAAGCCAATGCCTAAGTTTTTTGCTAACGAAGGCCAAGTTTGACGTGTTGGTCCACCAGACTCTTGGGGGATTTGGGCAGAATTGTCTGGGAACGAGATTATGTGGAATGTGACTGCCTAGGTTCGAACCCTGGTCTTCTGCACAACACACACATGCGTAAACCCGCAGAATCTAAAGCCTGGTCATAGTCTTCAGGTCTCAGGCAAGGTTAATCATCACCCGTGCCATTACATGAAGAAAAAAACTGTCGCTTCACACATGAACCGAAGGGCAAAAGGAAGATTAAATCAAATCTTGGAGGACAATGGAAGTTGACTTAAAAATACTTATTTATTATTAAAACCAACATGTTTTGGCGTATACTGTACCCTTCCTTGGGATATTGCATCCTAAATGCATTCGTTTTGATAATAAATAAGTGTTTTTGAGGACAAATTCCATTGTCCTCCAAGAGTTGCTGAATATTTTCCCATCTCCAGCTGAGCAAGGTAACAGCAACACCTGCCACATTTTTTTTCACGGCTTGAGCCACGACTGATTACACTCCTGCTGTTGTCAATGCTGCCTGCTACACTGGCCACATGAGGAGGAGCATGTTAGTGAAGCAGCAAGGCATTAGGCATGCCTTTTATCGCAAACAAGTAACTTTTTCTATTTGCGTCTTTGAAGTGTAAAAATAAATATAAAGTGGCTGTAATACAGATCTAATAAGCTTTTCTTCTGCTGATATACCTCCTGCTACTGGTTTCCCTCCCCTACCCCTTTACGCCTCTTCTCTCACCACCTCTTGGCTAAAATCCATTTGTATTTTCACTCCCTCCACTCCCGCTGTTCACTTGACTGAATTCCATTTATATTTTGGCTCCCTTCACTCTGTTCACTTTAAATAGGCAGAATCCATTTTAGAGGGAGCATGCAAATGTTTTGGAGAACTGGTAAATATAATTTAAGTGAAACTGAAAGGGGAGTGAATGAGGGGAAGGAAAATCACTTTTAATTGTCTGAGATCAAAATAAGCAAGCCTTTTCTAAAATCATAACAGTAGGGTAAAATGACACATCTGGAAAATCTACACCTCAACTGAAATATTGGACACCTCCAACTCTTGGGATTCCCCATGTAATCAATGAGTGGAGTGAGCGACTGAACACGTTTGTTTTAATTGAGCCTGTGGCTGCATCTCAATAGTCTACAGTGGCTTCCTCCCTTTGTCTCCCTTCCTCCATGTGCACTGTTCTGAGAACACAAAACAGGTGATAGCAATATGGTTGACATCTGCTTTCGCCTGCTCAGCTCCTTCACCTCAGTGTAGATGAATGAGAGGAAAAGAAGCCACTCTAGACTATTCAGATGTAGCCAGAGTCTCTCCATAATCCCTGTATCCCAATTCCCAGTCCTTTCTCCAGAGTTGTACACTTATGCACTCCTCCCCACTCATTTATAACCATGGAATTGGTGGAGGCATGGGCTAGATCAGGGCTGTTCAAGTCCGGTTCTGGAGGACCGAAACACTTCTCGTTTCTGTTTTTAACTGGTAGTTAATTGCACTCACCTCGTATCCCAGGTCTGAATCAGTCCCTGGTTAGAAGGAGAGGATGAAAACCAGAAGGGTTTTGGCCCTCCAGGACTGGAAATTAACAGCCCTGCGCTAAATAGAGGTTCCACCACATTTCTTATAACAGTATTTTCCTTTTAAATCCATGAATGGAAGTGAACAAGTGACACTTCAGGAGAAAGGGCAGAATTGGGGATAAACAGTCCCATTTTTTCATTATGCTTTGTCTCCCAGGACGCTATTCTGAAGCTTGGTCCCTTGCCACGTCTGCTGAATGACATCAGTGTAGCCTTGAGGAACCCCCAGCTCCACCGGCAGGCCAGCCACCAGCCAGACAGGCAGCAGGACAGGCTCATCACACGGCCCTCCTTCAATCGCCTGGTATCATCCGATTTCCAGAGCCTCATGATGCGGGACCTCAACAGGTAACTGCTCTGGACTTAAACACACAATCTGTGTAAGATTTCTTGAGGTTCAATGGTCATTTAACAATTGATATGCATTGATTCTTGAAAAACATAAGTTATAAATACCTTATTCATTTAGTACAACTGTTTCACCTTTATCGTAATCCAACAGCTATGGTTGTACAATTTCATTGTTGATGCTTTCGGTTGTCGTTTGAGTCTTTGTAAACAAACAATGTTGATGCAAAGAGAGGTGGGGTATGAGCCTTGGGGGTGACCTAAAATATACACTGTAGTATAGCTTTAAAATACAGCCCCTGACAATGGTAACAATGATAGATAATGAGGATGATCATCCCCAGCTCAATAGACATCTCCCGTCTCCCCTCCCCAACCTCTGGATTATCTGGGGGTGGGGTCCTATCGTCTCACGTAAGCATGGGAAGCTTTGCAGAACGAGACCCCCGCGGCTCAAAGGACGTTTTCTACGTGACCCGTCCCCCCTTGGCTCGGTCCAGCCCTGCATACTGCACAAGCAGTTCTGATATCACTGAGCCAGACCCAAAGGTAAACTTTGATGCATCGATTTATCGCCACTAACAGACAGCAGTGAATTTACTAACAAAAACTTTGAGTTGGACACATACACTGAGTATACAAAACATTAAGAAGACCTGCTCTTTCCATGACATAAACTGACCAGGTGAATCCAGGTGAACGCTATGATCCTAATGTTTGGTATACTCAGTGTATATTACAACTTGTAATTTACCTCAAAATGTAGTTATGAATGATCCCAATCACTAAATAGTGAACATTATTATAAGTGACATAATAATAGGTTATTCCAGTTGACAGGTTATGTTCTCTCTCTCTCCTAGGTCCTCAGTGTTAACAAAAGCGTGTCCATGATGGACCTGCAGGACTCACGCATGAATAGCATCTCCAACCTCCATTCAGTGGGCGATATGCTCAACTCCTCCCAGGCCTCCATAGCAGGCCTGGGCCACAGTTTTGGGAACCTGGGCGGCCCGCTTCGCATGGGAGGCCACATGTCCGCCGGTGGCTCGGGGAGCTCCGGCTTGAGGCTAAGCCAGATGGGGGGACCCCTTCACCACATGGGGGGTCCCACCGACTCTCTCTCCCAGCAGCAGCAGCATGCGGCAGCCGCCATGCACTTCCCCCTCTCCTTCCAGAACCCCCTCTTCCATCTGGCTGCTGACGGCCCTCGGGGTCAGCCCCACAGTCGTCCTCAGGCCCAGCAGCCTCCCCCTCCGCTCTTGTTGGCCTCGGAGCTTGACAATTCCAACCACCAACAGGGCTACGTGCGAGCGTTCGGCCAAGGCGGCTTCTCGCGCAGCGAGGACCTGTCGGCCCTGCGGCCACAGAGCAGTCTGGTGCAGCCCAGTGTTGTCCACTCGCACAGCTACAGTGACGACTACACGCGGCAGAACCAGAACACTGAATACGCCCGGCGCCAGCTTTCGCTGCAAGTGCAGGTCGGTATTCCAGGAAAATATCACTAATTCAATTTCAATTCAATTCAACTTTATTCATTCCGGTAGCAGCATCTACGATGACACTGTCAGAGCCTAAGTGCACGTTAACAAGAATACATCTCTTCATACTAAACATACACCACACAATGCATGTAACACCTCATGTAGACATTACATTTAGCAATCAGGCTGTTGCAGACTGTTGTTGCGGTCTGTTGCATTAATAAACCCCATCATAGATTTCAATTGATATTTCATTTCAAAATAAATTGACAAGAATGAAATCACCCAGCAGTCACTTTTTAGAGGCATTGATAGTGAAATGTACAGTATCTGCCTATTGTTTGTATGAGTAGACGCTTGAAAAACAAGTTAGACAGGGATTGTCCAATTAAAAGGGATTGTCCAATTAAAAGGGATTGTCCAATTAAATTGACTTCACAACCAGTCTTCATCTCCTTCCTTGTCTCTCCTCTTACACTCTCTCCCTCTCTCTCCCTCTCCTATAGTATTTGATCTCAAATACTGTATCTTTTTTTTCTAAATATTTCCTGCCACCCTCCCTCCCTCCGTCTCCCTCTTTTCCTTTTCCCGCCCACCCTCTCTCTCTCAGGAGAATCTCCAGCAGCAGATTCTTATGGGAATAACCTCTCAGACGGCCACAGGCACGGGCACTCCCACCTCCTTGGCCACTCCCCCCTCCACCGTGCATTCTGTCCATCATGGCTCCGTAGCACCGCCTCCCCCGCAGCGCCTCAAATCCCAGCTGTCCATCAGCCCCGGGGCTACCTCCACCCCTCCCAAGGCCCGCCCCCAGAGCAGGAACCTCCTTCTCCAGTCGCCCGACTCCAGCTTTGGCGGCAGGCAGCCCTCGCCACAGCAACAACAGCAGCAGCAGCAGTTGTCCGTCAAACAGTCTGACAGCCCAGCCCCTGGGCTCCCACACCAGTCGAGCTCTGCCAGGGACGGCCAGGGGGCGCCACAAGGGGGCAACGGAGAGACCACAGACACCCCGACTAAGAGCACCAAGCAGCCTCAGACCACAGACACCCCAACTAAGAGCACCAAGCAGCCTCAGCCGCAGCCCCAGCAGCAGCAGCAGCAGCCTCCACAGCAGCACCTGCTCAAGCCTACAGTCAATAAACAGGTCTATTGCTGGAATGCCATGGGCTCTGTGTTGGAACCATGTTAGTCCACTGAGACTAAAGCCTTGGCATTAGCTCTGGGTCTCAGGCAAGGTTACTCGTCACAAACCACCTCGGCTACATGTGAAATCAAACCTGTTAATAACCAGGGCCAATATTAATCACACTTCTGTGATTCTCAGAATCTCAGCTGATTTAGGATGAGGGATCACTGAGGAAGCTTAGCCTGTGTCACAACTTCAGTGTCATGAACATGTAATTTGTGTTCGATTTTAACCAAATCTATATTTGGTCCCAGTTCCCTACATGTTTTGCATAATGTAAAAATGATGTAGTGTAATGTAAATGTAACATCAAAGAAAATCTGATTATGTATTGAACGCTATTGTTTGAACATTACAGGCATATTGTAAAAATCGAAGCACTTGTCCAAAGGTCAGTCCAAAGAGATACATGTAGAAAATGGATAGCCAACCAAAAAGCACAGAAAAGTGTTGCTGGTTTAGCTAGTAATTTAGACCACTGCGCCTGGAGTGGCGCAGTGGTCTAAGGCACTGCATCGCAGTGCTAGCTGTGCCACTAGAGATCCTGGTTCGAATCCACGCTCTGTCGTAGCCGGCCGAGACCGGGAGACCCATGGGGCGGCGCACAATTGGCACAGGGTAGGGGAGGGAATGGCCGGCAGGGATGTAGCTCAGTTGGTAGAGCATGGCGTTTGCAACGCCAGGGTTGTGGGTTTGATTCCCATGGGGGGCCAGTATGAAAAATATAATGTATGCACTCCCTAACTGTAAGTCGCTCTGGATAAGAGCGTCTGCTAAATGACTAAAATGTAAATGTAATGTATGTAAATGTAACAGGTTAGAACAAATCACAAGCTTTCTGAGATAGGAGTACCTTTTAGTCTTGATAGCATGATCATGCGATTTCTGAGCCTCTTCCTGTATCATCTTGCCTCTTTGCTTTCAGGGTTCTCAGTCCCCCTCCACCCTGACCCCCAACGAGCGCACTGTGGCCTGGGTGTCTAACATGCCACACCTCTCTGCCGACATCGAAATATTGCGTAGCTCATCGAACCTTGAGGACCTTAAGCTGAAGGAGTACTCCAAGAGCATGGATGAGTCACGCATGGATAGGGTGAGTCTATTTTGAGGTTTATGAAGGTGTTCTTAATGTTTTGTATACTCAGTGTATTTTATTTTATTTTAATTAATTGTTTTATTTCACCTTTATTTAACCAGGTAAGCCAGTTGAGAACAAGTTCTCATTAACAACTGCGACCTGGCCAAGATAAAGCAAAGCAGTGCGATAAAAACAACAACACAGAGTTATATAAAAAAAACATAAAGTCAAAAAAAATACTATAGAAAATATATATACAGTGTGTGCAAATGTAGCAAGTTATGGAGGTAAGGCAATAAATAGGCTATAGTGCAAAATAATTACAATTAGTATTAACACTGGAATGCTAGATGTGCAAGAGATTATGTGCAAATAGAGATACTGGGGTGCAAAAGAGCAAAATAAATAACAATATAGGGATGAGGTAGTTGGGTGGGCTAATTTCAGATGGGCTGTGTACAGGTGCAGTGATCGGTAAGGTGCTCTGACAACTGATGCTTAAAGTTAGTGAGGGAGATAAGAGTCTCCAGCTTCAGAGATTTTTGCAATTCGTTCCAGTCATTGGCAGCAGAGAACTGGAAGGAATGGCGGCCAAAGGAGGTGTTGACTTTGGGGATGACCAGTGAGATATACCTGCTGGAGCGCAGACTACGGGTGGGTGCTGCTATGGTGACCAATGAGCTAAGATAAGGCGGGGATTTGCCTAGCAGTGATTTATAGATGGCCTGGAGCCAGTGGGTTTGACGACGAACATGTAGTGAGGACCAGCCAACAAGAGCGTACAGGTCACAGTGGTGGGTAGTTATGGGGCTTTGGAGACAAAAAGGATGGCACTGTGATAGACTACATCAAATTTGCTGAGTAGAGTGTTAGAGGCTATTTTGTAAATGACATCGCCGAAGTCAAGGATCGGTAGGATAGTCAGTTTAACGAGGGCATGTTTGGCAGCATGAGTGAAGGAGGCTTTGTTGCGAAATAGGAAGCCGATTCTAGATTTAACTTTGGATTGGAGATTCTTAATGTGAGTCTGGAAGGAGAGTTTACAGTCTAACCAGACACCTAGGTATTTGTAGTTGTCCACATACTCTAGGTCAGACCCGTCGAGAGTAGTGATTCTAGTCGGGTGTGCGGGTGCCAGCAGCGTTCGATTGAAGAGCATGCATTTAGTTTTACTAGTGTTTAAGAGCAGTTGGAGGCTACTGAAGGAGTGTTGTACGGCATTGAAGCTCGTTTGGAGGTTTGTTAACACAGTGTCCAATGAAGGGCCAGATGTATACAAAATGGTGTCGTCTGCGTAGAGGTGGATCTGAGAGTCACTAGTAGCAAGAGCGACATCATTGATATACACGGAGAAAAATGTCGGCCCGAGAATTGAACCCTGTGGCACCCCCATAGAGACTGCCATAGGTCCAGACAACAGGCCCTCCGATTTGACACATTGAACTCTATCTGAGAAGTAGTTGGTGAACCAGGCGAGGCAGTCATTTGAGGAAAAAAAGGCTATTTAGTCTGCCAATAAGAATGCGGTGGTTGACAGAGTCGAAAGCCTTGGCCAGGTCGATGAAGACGGCTGCACAGTACTGTCTATTATCGATCGCATTTATAATATCGTTTAGGACCTTGAGCGTGGCTGAAGTGCACCCATGACCAGCTCGGAAACCGGATTGCATAGCGGAGAAGGTACGGTGGGATTCGAAATGGTCGGTGATCTGTTTGTTAACTTGGCTTTCAAATACTTTCGAAAGGCAGGGCAGGATGGATATAGGTCTGTAACAGTTTGGATCTAGAGTGTCACCCCCTTTGAAGAGGGGGATGACCGCGGCAGCTTTCTAATCTCTGGGGATCTCAGACGTTACGAAAGAGAGGTTGAACAGGCTAGTAATAGGGGTTGCGACAATTTCGGCGGCTAGTTTTAGAAAGAAAGGGTCCAGATTGTCTAGCCCAGCTGATTTGTAGGGGTCCAGATTTTGCAGCTCTTTCAGAACATCAGCTGTCTGAATTTGTGTGCAGGAGAAGCAGGTGGGGCATGGGCAAGTTGCAGCGGGGGGTGCAGAGTTGGTGGCCGGGGTAGTGGTAGCCAGGTGGAAAGCATGGCCAGCCGTAGCAAAATGCTTGTTGAAATTCTCGATTATTGTAGATTTATCGGTGGTGATAGTGTTTCCTAGCCTCAGTGCAGTGGGCAGCTGGGAGGAAGTGCTCTTATTCTCCATGGACTTTACAGTGTCCCAAAACTTTTTGGGACACTGTAAAGTCCCAGTGCTGTGTAAATAAATCCAACACTCATTTGCAACTCTACCTGCCTGCCTCCTGCTGAATCTTTGTCCTTACGACTGCTAGAAGGCCCCTATTTTACGCTGATACAGTGCAGGGGCGATAGGCTATAGATTTCGCGCCAACCTGTCACTTCAAAAGCACTCAATGATCTCGGAGTCTCTGCATTTAAACGTTATGTTTATTGTGGTATAGCTTGATATATGCAGAATTCAATATAATTCCAATACAAGAACCCCCAAATATGTAGCCCCCGATTTCAGCTGCCTCCTTAGTCCCTTTATCCTGGTGCTGGGTCTGCCTAATATATGCCAATGTATCCAGAATTCCAGAGCATTGATCTCCCTCTCCTGCCATCTCTCTGCCAGGTAAAGGAATATGAGGAGGAGATCCATTCTCTGAAGGAGCGCCTGATAATGTCCCATCGGAAGCTGGAGGAGTATGAGCGCAGGATGCTTTCACAGGAGCAGCAGACCAGCAAGATCCTATCGCAGTACCAGAACCGGCTGGATGACAGCGAGCGCATGCTGAGGCAGCAGCAGCTGGAGAAGGACAGCCAAATCAAAGGCATTATCAACAGGTGAGCTCGATCAAAACAAGACAAGAAAGAAGGTTAATGTCTGCTTGCTCAATTGGCTAGATAGCATTTACTTTTGTGGGAATTTCAATTCCCTGAATATCTTATCTGTTTCAATAAACAGAAAGGATAATGTTGGGAGCCAAAATGATAGAAAGAAACTGAATCGTGGCTCTGTAGCTTTCTCTAAAATAAACATTGTTTCCTTCTTTTCCAGGCTGATGGCTGTGGAGGATGAGTTGAGAGTGAGTGCCATTCCTGAAATCAAGCCCAGAATGTTCAGAGAGCAGGTCTGTCCATTTGTCTGTATGGCTGAGAGTGTCTTCTAGTCTCTATAAGTCTATGGTGTGTACGTCGACATGGTTTAATATGGTTTCACTGGTCTGTCATATGTGCCATTTTTACAATAGTAGTGGCAGCATGTAGCAAGTGGAATGCATTTGGAAACCTGCTACTCTGCAACGTGCTTACCCAGATATGACGGGGTTACCCAGATATGACGTACCTGTGGCAAAAAAGACTAACATACTTAACCCCATAAAGGGCCTTGATAACATATGGACCCAATCCAGTTTCTCAACACCAGCTTCCCTTGAAAAAACCCATGACGAAACATCTACAACGGTGTTCACTTTACATTGATGAATTTGTTTAATTGACTACATACTATATATATATATATATATATATATATATATATATATATACAGTACCAGGCAAATGTTTGGACACACCTACTCATTCAAGGGTTTTTCTTTATTTTTTACTATTTTCTACATTGTAGAATAATAGTGAAGACATCTAAACTATGAAATAACACATATGGAATCATGTAGTAACCAAAAAAGTGTTAAACAAATATATTTTATATTTGAGATTCTTCAAATAGCCACCCTTTGCCTTTATGACAGCTTTGCACACTCTTGGCATTCTCTCAACCAGCTTCAGCTGGAATGCTTTTCCAACAGTCTTGAAGGAGTTCCCACATATGCTGAGCACTTGGTGGCTGCTTTTCCTTCACTCTGCCGTCCGACTCATCCCAAACCATCTCAATTGGGTTGAGGTTGGGGGATTGTGGAGGCCAGGTCATCTGATGCAGCACTCCATCACTCTCATTCTTGGATTGCGTATCGCTGCAGAATGCTGTGGTAGCCATGCTGGTTAAGTGTGCCTTGAATTCTAAATAAATCACAGACAATGTCACCAGCAAAGCACCCCCACACCATAACACCTCCTCCTCCATGCTTTACTGTGGGAACTACACATGCGGAGATCATCTGTTCACCCACACCGCGTTTTTGGAACCAAAAATCTCAAATTTGGACTCCAGACCAAAGGACAAATGTCCATTGGTCTAATATCCATTGGTCTAATGTCCATTGCTCATGTTTTTTGGCACAAGCAAATCTCTTCTTCTTATTGGTGTCCTTTAGTAGTGGTTTCTTTGAAGCAATTCGACCATGAAGACCTGATTCACACAGTCCCCTCTGAACAGTTGATGTTGGGATGTGTCTGTGACTTGAATTCTGTGAAGCATTTATTTGGGCTGCAATTTCTGAGGCTGGTAACTCTAATGAACTTATCCTCTGCAGCAGAGGTAACTCTGGGTATTCCATTCCTGTGGCGGTCCTCATGAGAGCCAGTTTCATCATAGCGCTTGATGGTTTTTGCGACTGAAATTTTCCGTATTGACTGACCTTCATGTCTTAAAGTAATGATGGACTGTCATTTCTCTTTGCTTGTTTGAGCTGTTCTTGCCATAATGTGGACTTGGTCTTTTACCAAATAGGGCTATCATCTGTATACCCCCGCTACCTTGTCACAACACAGCTGATTGGCTCAAATGCATTAAAGAAATTCCACAAATTAACTTTTAAGAAGGCACACCTGTTAATTGAAATGCATTCAGGGTGACTACCTCATGAAGCTGGTTGAGGGAATGCCAACAGTGTGCAAAGCTGTCATCAAGGCAAAGGGTGGCTATTTGAAGAATCTCAAATATAAAATATATTTGTTTAACACTTTTTTGGTTACTACATGATTCCATATGTTATTTCATAGTTTTGATGTATTCACTATTATTGTACAATGTCAAAAAATTAAGAAACCCTTGAATGAGTAGGTGTGTCCAAACTTTTGACTGGTACTGTATATATATGTGCACCATGTCTGTTCCGTTGTATGTAAGCTGTTGAATGTCTGTCTGGGCACAATGTCACTACATTATATAATTTTTACCACCACTGACAAAAGACAAAGGTTTCATATTGAGGCATTTCTAACTCAAAGTTGGTGTGAATGGCATCTACTGTATGATGGAGTAGACCGGATGTATAAGGTTGAATGGTGTGGTAAAGTATAGCGGTATTGCAATGCATTGCAGCATATTCTACTGAGTCCTAGAGCATTGAGTTTTATCAACTGGACAACTTTTGATTGGTTGTATTTGATCCAATCGCTGAACGATTTGTTTTGCAAAATGCCCTCATTACAGATGTAGGCACAAACAGTTTAAATGAAAGCATGGCCAGACTGAACCAGTGAAGTGAAATAATATTGAAACAGAGAGATATTCAGTTTGGATTCCAGGCTAGCTTTCCCTTGATCCAGCTACATGGTAGTTTTTGCACACTGTGTAGTGTGTACGGCCAGGGAAAATGGGGCCCTGGCATCTATATGTTTATTTGTAAAGGTATGCAACACTCCACTACTGAAATATACCCCCTACATTTCTGAAAACAAAATGCCTTAAGTAGCTTACCATGGTACAACTGTAAGAAGCTGTGGTTTGCACTGATAGTGTCAGACCAACACTGACAGTAAACAGGGTTGGGGTAAAAAAATGAAAAATAACATTTAAATAAGGGGGATTAGAAATGATGCAAACAATGACATTGATAGAACTCACAATATCTGCTATATTAAAGCTTAAAAGTGAGCAACGGTTCTATGTATCACTTTTTCTACTCAAACAACCCTTTTCCTGGAGAGGGTATTTCACTAGGTTCTTCACTGTCTGAATGGTTGCAAATAGGGTTTTCTTCTTGCTAGAGGGTTGTGGGTAATGTGAATTTCTGTTTTCATGTAGCATTATTTCACATGCCGTTGTACCTGTGATTTTGGTTGTTGTTTTATTCTAACTGTATTGCCTTTGTGTTTATGTTCATGAGTTCTTTTGGGGTGGTGGGGTGAACACATTAGCATATTTGTGTACTGATACATATTTATAGGAAATAATTAATAAAACATCCATTATGGGCTATTTATTTTTGTAAGTGCATGACTAATGGTAGTTTTCCATGCATCCATCCCTGTGTTGAGGATGAGTTTAGGGCATCTGCCAGATGCCTGAAACAGTGGTTTTGATTGATCAGGAGCATGAGTTGTTGATGATCCAAACAGAGGTTAAACATGACACTTTTCTTTTATTATTTGAGAAAGGATAGTAACGGAAGCAGGGAGACAGCATAAATGGAGTACAAATGTGTAGGGCTCAGGATCGAATCGGGATCCCCACCATGGGGGGAACGTATATGGATCCAAAGGCGAGAGCATTACCCGCTCAACCAGACTCAGGGCCCACGTGACACTTTTCGTAACTTGGCCATGTCTAGCGTTACTTGTTCATTGTGCATATGAGGCCACAGTATTCAGTGAATTATGGCAGCCAACACTGTTAGGGTGTCACTGATATGAAGCCCATTGACAACTACATTTTCTCAAATTTAAATGACAAACACTGACTTTTATCAATCCCATTACATGAAGGGAAAGGTCGCTACTGCCAGCTTAGGCTATAGTCCCTCTGTATTGCCTCAGACAAATGGTTGGACTACACCTGGATGTGTTCATTAGGGCATACAACCAAAAATTGTTTTGCAACGGAAAATGAAAAATAGCTTTTCTTATTGGATCAGGCCAGGTATATCAGTCCGTCTTCTTCCATTGGGTGCCTAAGGAACAGGACCCTGTTTCTCAACCCTAACCCCCCCCCCCCCCCCCCCCCCCCCCCCCCCTCCCTTGTCTCTGTCCTGTGATTTCTTGTGGGGTCTTTCTTTCTTTTCTTTCATCTCTGTTGGAATTTCTCATTCCTCTACTTTATAACCCATTTTTCTTCTCTCCCTCTCTGCAAAATTTCCCCCAACCCCCTCCTCTATCCCCTCCTGTGTGACGTTCTCTCCCCACGCGTTCTCTTCTGACTCCCTCCCACCCACCATTCCGCCTTTTCTCCCCTCTCCCTCCCTCTCTCTATCTTGCTATCGATAGGAAGAGGACTCTTCCTCTCTGGGTTCAGCAGACCCCCATGGTCTCCCTGGAGTGGGGGGAGGGACGGCCACCGCCACTGCCAGGCCCGGGGTCTCCTTTTCGGGCGTCTCCTGTGCCAGCTCCCCTTGGAACGGAGCCCTCCCTCCCCTCCCACCTCCCCGCCTACACGTCAGCCACAACGGGGAACTCCATGGCAACCGAGCCTACCCCTCGACTACTACCATGGTTACGCCAGCCAGGAGCACGGCATCTTGGACCTCGGCAACAGCAGCATCAGATCCGAGTTTAACCGGGGGGAGAGCAGTCTAATAACGAAATGTGATTACTGAAACGAGTCAAGTGGAGAGAGGAGTTTTCACTCCCAGAACATCCTCTTGGCTATGTTTCTCCTTTTAGCCTTTTTCCCAAATAATAATTGATTTACTTGATAGGGACAGATTTAATGACAACGTTGACACATTGATTTACCAGATGCACGATGCATTGCACCGTCTTGCTTTAGTTTGCGTTAATTTCCAGCATCAGTCACTAGATGGGCTTTGAGATAATGAGAATTGGTTCTCAATTAACAAACCTTGTTGAATAAAGGAATAATAATAAAGTGACATATTAGTTTTAAAGACTAAAGGAGCCGATCTCCGATATTTGACGGGTGATCCAATAATGGCGGTTATGTAGTTTTTTATCCAAAGGTCAAATGGGCTTCTATCAGTTTTGAGGTTGACAATTAGTAAATCATAGTTAAGGACTTGTGGATTGGGAAGGCTTTTTGTACCTCTTTATTTGACTCTTTTTTTATTTCCCTACTAGGGGTTTCATGCTGTGTGTGTGTGTGTGTGTGTGTGTGTGTGTGTGTGTGTGTGTGTGGAGAGATAGCGAGAGAGATGGAGAGGGTATTTTGTTTTACCATATACTTCTATTGCAGTGGTTGCTAAATGTTAAACTGTATTGCAGTCTAGAATAAATTGCAGTCTAGAATAACTCAAAGATTCGTATTATTATTTCATCCATTGCCCTTTCACCATTTTCTTCTTTCCCTCCCTCCCTTCCTACAGCCAATCCAACCGTTTTACGGAGGACACCCTAGGACCTGACTGGCACATTAAATGCGGGCGGAGCTGATATGGGTCCTGGCTTAATCCTATTGGCTGTCTAAGGCAAAACATAGAAGAGGTCTGCAGTACACGGCTACTCCAGATCTGTTGATTCCCACAACAAGCTGAGCTTTTGGAAAATTCAAAGGGGGGGTTTCTTCACATGCTAACACACACACACACTCCCTCATGCATTTGCTCATTCTCTCTCTCTCTCTGCAATACCACTGTAAATTTTGACCCTGGTGACAATCAGCTCAATATGAGCGGTGATGTTTACATTGTCTGCGTGTTGCAGTGACCCATTCACGAGTGATGAAACATGGCAATATTTAACCTGTTGTTTCTGTTTTAATAGGTATGACAAAGCACAATACTGAGAAAGAGAGAGAAAGAAACTTTGGGGGATCCCTACATACCACCCCCTACCTCAAATATTCACTTCACTTAATTAATCCCCCTGTGACAAATCTGCTACACTGGGGCTTCGCAAAAGCAGCAAATGTTTTAGCTGCTACACTAAACGCGTAACCCGGGGCCAGTGGGTCGAATTCTTGAAAACATCTCACACCCAGTAAAAGTAACACGTCCAGTTATCCTGTCAACCACTATGGCTCCAATTGATGTTTTTTTATGTTCTTAGTATTAAATTGAGTAGTTTAATACTTAGTATTACAGACGGTGAATTAAATGAAAGCATAATGCCAATACTGCCCCTGTTCTCAGACTATATATCTCTGTAATGCCGGGAACATATCTATCTCTCCGGCCTAATTGTTTCCTCCTTTTTCCTTGTTCCTTGTTCTGCACTTCTCTATCTCTACCCGAGAGGAAACATACTAAATATGCACAGCCCTATGTTTCACAACAGAAGGACGAAAGGTCTTGATTTCTATGTCATCTGGATACATTTACAACCTAGGGAGCTGGGACATATGGACATTGTTTTACATTTCCTACATATGTGTTTTAATTATATGAATTACACACCTGGACATGTGTGGTGTTTGTTTCTTTAAATTGATATCCCAGTAAGGTTTCTTTACATTGTGGACGATTCCTCTGGACCACTTTGCTATTTTACGTATGGGTTCTCCTCTTTGAGATGGAAAGAGGTGGATTTTACCTGCTCTGCCTCCATCAAAGTCTGGGACACACTGCCATCTTGTGACCATAGTATCAATCTGCACTAGATAGGGGAAGAAGGACGCTTCCTCAAGTGGTGCTCAGCTACGGAGCTCATGTTTGGCTGGGGATCAGGGATGCTACAATTGTCATGAGTGACCTGTCCCAGTTGAATTGACTCCACTCTTTCACCTTGGACTCGTGCAGATGCCTAGACTAACCTTCAGGTTGTACTCACCTCCACTTATCATCACAGAGGGGTGTGGCAGAACAATTGTCAGATGGAATTACTTAGTGAATCTCAATTAGTGAATGGGTGTATCTGTTGTTGCATATATATGAGTTGAATATACAAGAAAAGGGTTCCATGTACACTGAGTATACCAAACATTAGGAACACCTGAGTTGCACCCCTGCTTTTTGCCCTCAGAACAGCCTCAATTCATTGGGGCATGGACTACAAGGTGTCCAAAGCGTTCCACGTTGTTGACTACAATGCTTCCCACAGTTGTGTCAAGTTGGCTGTTTGTCTTTTGGGTGGTGGACCATTCTTGATACACACAGGAAACTGCTGAGTGTGAAAAACCCAGCAGCGTTGCAGTTCTTGACACAAACCGGAACCTACTACCATACCCCGTTCAAAGGCACTTAAATATTTTGTCACCCTCTGAATGGCACACATACACAATCCATGTCTCAAATATCTCAAGGCTTAAAAATCATTCTTTAACCTGTCTCCTCCCCTTCATCTACACTGATTGAAGTGGATTTAACAAGTGACATCAATAAGGGATCATTGCTTTCACCTTGATTCACCTGGTCAGTCTATGTCATGGAAAGAGCAGGTGTCCTTAATGTTTTGTATACTCAGTGTATATGGTTGGTTTGTACAGTATGTGTGAATATGCAGTAGGTGTGTGTGTGTGTGTGTTTAAAGAATTGTTCCCTAAGACAAAAGGGATAAAAATACACCTCACAACGGCAGGGACGAGAGGGAGACACAGGCATGGCTACACACAGGAGCAGATCCCATGTCTTCTCAATTGAGCTGTGTATTGTCCTCTCTTGGTTCCCCCCACTCGAGGAAAAACAAACATCAATATTTTGTTTTCCACCCATGCATATACACACCACCCTGTTCTGCACACACATACGCAAAAATAACAATTTCAATCCTCACTCACACGAAAGAACACCCTTTCACACAGATACACATGCCAACTCTTAACAAAATGAATCCCACAGAGATTTCTGTAAATGTTTTATCTTTCCCTTCTAGTCAAAATGTTTGGCACTTTGAGATTATTTTATGTGTTGGTAATTTCTGTATATAAATTGGGGCAGTGGATATTACAAATTCCTGCTTGAAACTTTCATTTATTTTAACACTTTTCTTTTTAATATTTTAGACCTTATGGTAAGTTGATTTTGAAGTAAATGTTTGAGATAGTTAAGGATTTAGGTAGACTGCACTTAAGATCATGCTTTTCATAGATACAGGTGCAATATATTTAAATGATACATTGTGTCTCTGTTCAGATATCAGATTTCTAAAAAAAACAATGCCAAGACCCCTTTGGTGTCATTTGTCTTTTCATCAACATCTTCTCACTTCTATAACCGAGTGGCCAAAATACAAGTGAATAGCATAGAAATGTTTGCTGTAGCCACAAGGAATGAATTGCCATATATTGATTTAGCCAATATAGACATTTTTTCAAGTTTCAAATGTAAATCATTCTCAGCTGCTGTGCTATAACATTTCATGTGTATTACTCCTTGACACATGAGTAGATTGTCATACCAATCAACTGAACCCTTAACCTATCATATTGAAACTACGTATATATTCATTACAATGAGTGACGTGATATAATGCCTTTTCTCTTAGCCATTCCTGTAATCGATTCCTGTGTTTTGCCTTCCCTTTGATGCTACCCTTATGATGGGGCCTTTCCCCTTTTCACTTCCCTTAAAGTTAGCCATGCCCCTTGACAAGCCATAACCCCTGGACACCCCCTCCTATTGTCAAACTTTTGATGGACATTAGGGAATGTCACAGACATTTGTATGCAGACATTATTTTGTGTGCATACTGTAGATCAATGAAAAACATATTTATCAAATGTTATAGAGATTTCTTATGAATGTTAATAGTCTCATGATGGTAATGGTTATTGTAATTAGTATGATGATTATTGTAATTATTATTGCTATTACAATGATTTTATTGATATTTACTTAATTATTCAACAGCAATTGCTTTTATGTGAATAAGGGTGAAGTTTATATTTCTGGAGATTTAAATAAGCAAACAAATTAATAAATAGATATCCCTATCCTCCCACATGCTTTGTGTGTTCTGTCAATTACAGTGCTGTATCTAACCTAACTACAGTGTTGTGCTTTTAGTCCGCCCTCCCCAAGGGGACTGCTATAGATGGGTCGAATTGATAAAAGTTAACAAGGGGTATGCTATGTTCAGTGAGTGGGGGCTAAGGGAGTCCGCAGGCATGCTCATATTAACATTTGGCACAGTGGCTATAACCAAAGTATGGATTGCAGTCTCCCCCTGTCCATAGACTGCATTCAATGTAAGGAAACACCTTAGAGATAAAAAGAGGACTCTAGATGGATATTTAAGCAATAAGGCCCAAGGGGGTGTGGTATATGGCCAATATACCACGGCTAAGGGCTGTTCTTACGCACAACAGAACGCGGAGTGCCTGGATGCAGCCCTTAGCCGTGGTATATTGGCCATATACCACAAACCCCCGAGGTGCCTTATTGCTATTATAAACTGGTTACCAACGTAATTAGAGCAGTACAAAAAAATGCTTTATCATACCCGTGGTATACAGTCTGATATACCATGGCTGTCAGCCAATAAGCATTCAGAGCTTGAACCACAGTTTATAAAACCCATTTTAGCATGGACATTGCCATTGAGGGCTTCCACCATTTCAAATTATTCAACAGGGTGTGGATTCCTATTGGTTGGCAGTGATCAGCCAATGATCAGAGCATTATCTTCAAATTGGGTTGATTATGATTTGTAAATGGCTTTAAGCTGTATTACCGCCATCT